GTATTTTTTGTTTTTATGGAAAGCTCTGAAAATGTTCTGCGTTTCTTTCTTTTTCTGAACTTTTCTTCAAAGTCATTTTGTGTTGTGTTTAGAGAGAACGTGACTGCCATAACCTTAGATGAAGCATTCATATCGTGATCTATACATTCCTTCGTTATCCCCCCCACCATCATAATCCTTTGTAACTGACTTAAACATCCTAACATTGTGGGGTYATTGACGTACTTGTGCGTCTGGTATACCTTAAAAAAATAACTCAACACTTTCTGCCAAGAAAAAWTGATTTAACCTTTTAAACATTAAAATGTTTATGGTTCTGATTGACTTGGTATTTAGTAGATTACCARGGTCGATTATCCCGTAATTTATTTATATATTGTGTGTAGGTCATTGGATATAATACAATGCAAAATTTAGTGGGGATCACGCTGCGAGGCAGTGAAGCTTAGCAATTTTAGGCTTTTATTATTGCAATCGTYYTGTTTGCTTTGATAGAGTTATAAGGCATGTTCACAAGATAAGATTTTATGGGCAAGGTCGCAACCCCATCGATAAGATGAGATTGAAATCCTTTTAAACCTTAATTGGGCGCAAATCGACAGGAGTTCATGTGAATAATCTGGTGTGAACTTGGTTTTCGATTGCATTTAACCTTGTTCACAGTTATGACGAGCTCACACGAGTACGCCATTGCAAGCGCCAAACGTCGAGGCAATCAAATCAAGATCGTCCTAAAGTCGATCGCACGGCCTGCCAACAAGAAAACCAGTCCCCCATCAAAACATATGCCTCGAAATGAAACCTCCCCTATGCTGGCATTCTTCTCAGGGCCCGGGTTCGAGTCACGCGAAATGGAACTCGATTTAAGAGACTTGGTYGGGATCAATGTGAACGATTTGGATGACTCTTTACGGGATATTATTCTCGATGATCCTAACACGGACGAAATCGATACTGCATCACTGGTTTCTGAGATTTCAACGTGTAGTTCAGTGGTCACGGTTGCTCTCGAGCCTGTAGACGAAGAACCCAAGATATTAGCAAGAAGCAGACCACCATGTTCACCGACACCGACAGGCAGGAGCTCAGAGCCAAGCTGTGCGTCATCTAGCGAAGCAGAAGAAGAAATCGAAAGCAAAAAGAGTGGCTGGAAATCAAAGAAGATTTCAAACCTTTTTTCTTTCAATTCAGGAGCTTCGAGTTCTACTTCCGTCAATACAATGGGTGTAGTGAATGAGAATCCTGTGGATCGAAATTCACCTCCTGTTGTCGATCGTAAAAAGACTCGYAGACCGTCTCTAACAAGGAGGATGTCCCCGTTAGCATTAGGGATTTTCTCTACAGCAGCTTTACAAAATCCTCCGGATGTTAAACCAGAGTCTCTGGAAAAAGACTCCAAAAGGCCGGYCGGTCCTGGAAAGATGAACCGCAAACTTTCATTAACAAARTTCTCAGTACCAAAACAAACCGAGAAGCAAGATAACAGCGGGAAAAAACGACGAAATACCGACCCGAATTTACTCCAAAGAAAAGCACAAGCCTTAGGTGTAGAAACCGACGAAGAGACGTCGAAACCAGCCGAAGGCGAAGAAGCAGGAAGTCCTGAGAGAGTTCGCMGAGTGTCGTTCAACGCTCTCGCCCCGAGCGTGGAAGAACCAAAAAAGGATGGCATTCGYCTTGAACCAGAGGAGGGCAATTTTAAAGACGAGGATATCAAATTAAGGAATTTAATTGGAGACGTTTTACGCTCTCATATGTTATCGATGGTTGATTACAGAAAAGAAACATGYGATCGCACGGGGAAAAGTATTTCAAAAATCCTTAAAACGCTTATMGAGTCAATGAAACAGTCGGAGGGAGTTCAGGCGAAAGTCGTTTGTAGTGTATTTCTTGGTGCGGTTAGAGATCAAGGAATCTTCATGTCGACGCAAGCATTGTGGGACTCAAATCAGGACAATTTCGCAGCAGCAAGCTTCCGTAACGAAGCTGTGTTTGGACTAGCTGTTGTCATAACGACGCCATATGTCACCACATGATCCACAGGAATCCCAATACTGACGATTTAAGACACGACCTAATGTCCTTTAGCTTCTTTTTTGCCAGTATTAACGGTTTCGATTATCAATGTTTTAATTCCAATAGTTCCATTTTGATTTTTTTAGTCGTTTTGAATTGAAATTAGATTTTTTTCCTTTTATAAAATGAACAATGGTTGTTAATACAGGGTCTGAATGGGGTTAGCCGACTAGCGACAAATGGACAAAATAACTACTGACTAGCGACAAATTTGAACAAAATTTGCTGACTACCGACATTAACAAATTTACTGACTGGCGACATTTTCTAATATTTAAAGATGTTAGCTCCGTGAATACAAGCTTTTTTTTATTTTTCAAGCAAGTACATTCGAAATTTTCCGCGGAAAAAATAAATTTTGCTTCGGATTTGCTTTTTGAAGTTGTGATGAGCCACTCTAAAACTTTAAGGGGCATCCAATTGACCAATCAAGACTCAAGGATTCAATTGTTGGCATTTTAGAAAGAATTCTGTTGGTATAAAGCATCGTTTTAGATGCATTTAAACTTAATGTTTATCAACTTTTTTTAGATAACCGACTACCGACAAATGCCTAGAATTTTAACTGACTAGCGACAAATGCTTGAAATTTTAACTGACTACCGACATTGTTAATATTGTTATATTTTAGGTATTACCAGAAGTACAATGTACATGCTCCACTGTTCAATGCATCTTCATACACTCAACATTCCTGCATTTCTTCTCAAGTAAGAAAAAATGATTTTCATATCATTTCCCTTTCTACCTATGCTATATTCTTTATATAAAGAAAAAAAAAATAGTTAGTTATAATTGGAAAAACTTAGTAGAAATTTCCAAAGTAGCACATGTAATGCAAACAGTGGGAGAATTTTCAGAATTTTGTACTTATTTTCAGAATTTTGTTAGAGTGAAAACTGAAAGCATGAAAAGTAGTGCTTCAGGGTACAATATAGTGTAGATTAGACGAAAGAAAACAGATAACGCAATACAATTAGCACAGTTTAGCACTATTAATTACTTTATAGTACATTTAACAAAATATTTTTTCATTGGTCGAGAGGAATTTCAGCATTAATTGTACTTCTAATAAAATTTTGATTCACTGAATGTACTATAAACAAAACATCGCACAACCTTGCAATTTCCTATACAAATTCTTACCTGAATGCAAATGAATTATAATAATAATTATAATAATGATAATAACACAAAGATTTCCTTGCAATTGCAAAAGTATTTCATAATAATAAGCATGGAAAAATTCAAGTCACAATCAGATGAGTTGAGCCAAGTAAATATGAAAATATTGGTTTTGAGTTGTAAAATGATCCTATTAACACACTTTTGATATAATAAAAAAACATGTCCAAAAATCAGCTGAATCCAAGAGCACAGCATATTACTGTGTGTTTCTGCAATGTTTTGAAGGAACACAATGAAAGAACCATGTGCAATTTGTTATTTACATGTACTACATGAGTACACCTTTAGCCTATAAATTAAAGGGACACTGTCAATGGATGACATGCGCGAGTAAACTTGAAAACACTAGGCTAGTGTTTTCAAGTTTATGACTCCAAGTTGGCGCGACATAAATCAGATCGTAAACGTAAACAGGTCTAGAATATTCCAAAGTGTGTCAAAAGCACCACAAAATGATTTACCTCGAAGGTTATACTTTCAAAGTGTCCCTTTAATGGAAATAATTCTCCTTATCAACTGGGTGAGARCTTGAAAACCTGATGGTTTCAGGGCATTGTGCACGTCCTCTTATTAAGCACTTTAACAGGATTCTCAGTAGAAGCTGGCAGCCAGCGAAAATTTGTCAGTTATTTGTCAGACATGTAGTCTGCTACTGGTAACATTGTAACCCAGTACAACCTGCCTCAAAGGTCAGACATGTAGTCTGCTACTGGTAACATTGTAACCCAGTACAACCTGTCTCATGGACGGGTCGTCGGCGTCTAAACCGGCACCCCCACCAGTCTACACTGGTGAGGAGGGTGGCATGACACCCAGCAGGACTAAAAACAAAACCTGTCAAAGCGCGAATGAGCTTGGTTAAGCCACCGGGCATCATGCAAAAACACTTGTTTATTGTGATGCAATCTGATTGTTGTACTTTAATTTTTAGTTTGAGATCTTGGGACGGACTGTGCAGCGGCAGCCAGAGGCGCCAACTCAAGCTCACAGTCTACCAAGACTCTCATGTGTTTTGTAGTTGTCATGTCGTTTTAAAGCGCTTAGAACAGAATTGAAGGGGCGGATTCTAAACGAGAAATAACTAGCAAACATGATTATTTAGACCAGAAACAAATGATTGAAGCGATTTTTTGTCAATTTTTCGAAAATTTCAAAAATACCCTAAATCGTCACTTAAGTCGTTTTCGCATCCGCCCCTTCATTGTCTTGTAGGTCAATCAGTTAATCAGTCATTTTTCCGTCAAAACCGCACAGTTATCCAGACAACAAAATCACACAGTTAGCCAAACACTTTTTCGTCGAAATACTTAAGTTAAATGACTATTTTTTCGTCTAAGTTGAACTGTTAGCTAGGCACTTTGCCGTCTAAATTGACCAAAAACCAGACACCTTTCTGTCTAAGTCGGACAGTTGGTCAGACAAGTCATCTTATTAAGTCCRTTAGGTAGAMACTTTAACGTCTGAGTCCATTAGGAAACCAGACAATGTCGTCGTCTAAGTCAAAGAGTCAACTTTGCCGTCTAAGTCATTCAGGCGGCCATGACAATATTGGATAAGCTCTATATAAATAGGATTATATTATTATTATTATTATATTAGTTAATCACCAGCTACTTATGAGTTTATTTGCAAATTATTTGGCTGTACATTGCCTATTTTGACATCTACTTTTATTTCTACTGAGAACCCTACTCTAATCAGCCAATCAGCATGCATGAATTCATAAAAAGTGTGGTCAAAATATAGCTTCCTTTGCAGGCAACTCTATTCTGCAGGATTTCTGTGTTAAGACAGAAAATTGGCCAAAGGGGGAGGGGTTAGGAAGGAAGGAACAAGTTCCTTGTTCCTAATCTCTTGACCCCAGTAATTTGTCTCACGTCAGGATAAATCAACACAGGAAGACCAACGAGAGAAAAAAAAAATCCTTTTCCTGAAAGAGTAGCCTGCTAGTCAAA